CAGAGCAACTTCATTAACATTAATTCTTCAAGTGTTACATAAAAGACATTATAGCTCAAAAATAAACAGAGGAGTGACATTAGATTTCAAAGAGAACTACGAATGAAAAACCAAATTAGGAACCAAGTAACAATGGTGAACAGGAACCAAATTAGGTCTCAATGGTCTTGACTGCTCCTTGATGATCTTAAATTCTCCAGCAATTTTCTCCAACTTCAGCTTCAGATTTTCATTCTTCACAAGAGGCTTTGTGATCTTATTTACATCTTCACGCAAGAAGCTATGTTTCAGCAATGTCAAAGCGTCTCTTCTCTGTTCTGTCTCCGACGCGAAGCAAGTCATGATAAAGAGTTTTGCATCATAAGGAAGATCATTAGGAATCAACGGCTCGTAGCAGTTCTTGAGATCCTCCAAGTCATACTTTTTATGCCACCATGGTCTCTTCCCTGTGTACATCTCCAACACTACACATCCCAACGACCATAAATCAAGTCCTTTCCCTGTCTCACCGTGAGAAACCGATTCCGGCGACATATAGATCGGTGTTCCCGCAAACGGACGATTAGGTTGCCACCAGTCACTATCACCCTCTCTTTTCGACAAACCGAAATCAGAAATCTTTAACTCGTAACCGCTCTTGTAGTCACCACATCTCGGGAATACGAGGATGTTTCCAGGTTTGAGGTCGCAATGAACATAGCCTTGTCCGTGAATCGTGGCTAAACCCTCGAGGAGCATACGAGTAAACTCTTTGATCAAAGGCTCAGGTAGTTTCTTGTCTTTGAATCTGTTCATGAAAGTTCTCAAGCTACCTCCAGATGCGTACTCCATTAGCATCATGTACTCTATGTCACCTTCACCGTCAAAATTCTCTATTACTCTGTTTTCGTAACATTGGACGATTCTCGAACAATTCTTGAATTGAGACAAGATCTGAAACTCTTTGTAAAGAGACAAGGCGTGTTTGTAGTCGGAAGTTTTCACCGCCGTGTAGAGCGTTGTCGTGCGTGGTTCCGAGTACTTGAAGAGGCTTACTGAACCGTACGAACCTTTTCCTAGAAACTTTTCGAACTCTAACTCTGGTGGTTCCATTGCAATGGAATATGATTGAATAATTATCTGGTTTCTTCGGTTCCAAGGTAAGTAAAAAACCCTAGGTCAGGTGAAATCTGAGAAATTGCAACGAATTTGGTGAAGAAAAAAAAAAGTGAGATAGATTGATTCCCTATATGGCTCTGA